CGCAATTGGTGGTCTGTATGGGGTGGGTGCCCGTTGGAGAGGCAGAGACAAGCCTTGTTTCACCAAGGCTTTTGTCTACGAGTAGCGATTTCATGTGTCTGCGGGATGATGTCAGTCAAAAAGAAGGGGCACTATACTCGGACATTCCCGATACTCAGCCCCCACCCCCCTACCCTCAGCTTTAGAATCTTGCCAGCGCGAAATCGTGCAAAATCGATGAGCCCTAACCCGACACCTGACCCCTGCCGGACGGGGGAGGATGAGGATATTGTGCAAGTATCATACCAGTACAAGCAAGGGGCGTTGATAAGGGCAGGGGCCTCTTGCCCTTGTGGAATCGGTTGGGTGGGCGGTTTTAGCGACTAGAAGCTTTTTCCCATTTCTCTTCTTCAATTCACCGGATTGTCATGCGCGACATTCTAGGATTGTGGTGGACAGGCCGTTCGTCGCGGTATTCACAGTCTATCACTCGGGTTTTCGCGCAGGAGGGTTGCGGAGATGTAGTTGACACTCCCATTCTCTGATTTAAATTTACGTCCCCTCCAAACCAGCAGCTGGGTGATGAGTCACCCACAACGCTGGGGGGGGTGGGCTAGAGCTCGCAACGGATGCGGTTACTATCATGTGCGTTTACTCCTCCGCCCTTAGAGTCCCCCCTGGCCATCGAACATGACGAATCATCCGGTGCAAACCGTCGTCTCGAGGGTAGATATCCAACCCGCCTTAACTCCCTCGCTTCCGTCGCCAAACCCCTTTGGCATCAGGTGCGCCGGTGCCTTCCGCGGAGGCAAGTGTGCTGGGGGGAAACGAGTGAAGAGCTCCTTTCGGGGGTTAGCCTCTGGGAATGCGCATTATTATCTTGTGTCCCGGTCTCGCCCGCAGAGTCCATGGACGTCGTCAATTTAAACTACCGGAACCAGATAAGCTCTCGATAAGCACGACCTCGGCACTTCCGGTGATTTACGCTCACGTGGCCCCGGACCACTTGCGGTAACAGTGCACCGCTTTTAAGAGTTCTCTTTTTTTTTTTTCCAACCCTTCTACACTGTTGGCCCCGTTGGGGTAATGGTGATATCATCGGATTGCCGG